ATATATGGTTCCAAACGGCATTATATGACCCCAAGATGTATCCCATAGAATTTCAAAACTTTTCGACACAGGGCCCCGAAACCTGTAAAATTTCTCAAAAAGCGTGGATAATAGCCTTCAATTTTAGAATTTTTTGACTACTTTTCGCCTGAAATAAAAATTTCCGAAATGTTTACCATGGTCTCTAATACCCTCCGAGAGTCCAATTGGGTGGGTGGAACCATCCAACTTGCCTTTAAACGACCAATTTACCGGTTTACAACTTACACCGATTTCATTAATTCAAGCCACCTATTAACATTTATGACAACAAATAATGATCATATATGATTCCAAACGACATTAAATGACCCCTAGATTTATTCCCTTGAATTTAAGACTTTTCGACATCGGGCCCCGAAACCTCCAAAATTTCTCAAAAAGCGTGTATATTAGCCTTCAATTTTTGAATTTTTTGACTATTTTTCGCCAGAAATAAAAATTTCAGAAATATTTACTATGGTCTCTAATACCCTTCGAGAGTCCAAATGGGTGGTTGGAACCATCCAATATGCATTTAAACGACCAATTTACCAATTTACAATTTGCAACGATTTCATTAATTCAAGCCAACCAGGAACATTTAAGACAAAAAATAATGATCATATATGGTTCCAAACGGCATTAAATGACCCCGAGATGTAACCCAGAGAATTTCAAAACTTTTCGACACCGGAACCTTAAACCTCCAAAATATCTCAAAAAACGTGGATATTAGCCTTCAATTTTGGAATTTTTTGACTACTTTTCGCACAGAAATAAAAATTGCTGAAATGTTTATCATGATCTCTAATACCCCTTGGTAGTCCAATTAGGTGGGTGGAACCATCCAATTTGCCTTTAAATGACCAATTTACCGGTTTACAACTTGCGCTGATTTCATTAACTCAAGCCAACCACGAATATTTATGACAATAAATAATGATCATATATGGTTCCAAACGGCATTATATGACTCCGAGACGTATCCCATAGAATTTCAAGACTTTTCGACACCGGGCCTCGAAACCTCCAAAATTTCTCAAAAAGCCTTTAATTTTGGAATTTTTTACTATTTTTCGCCCGAAAATAAAAATTTCCGAAACATTTACCATGGTCCCTAATACCCTCCGGGAGTACAATTGGGTGGGTGGAACCATCCAATTTGCCTTTAAACAACCAATTTACCGGTTTACGACTTACAACGATTACATTAATTCAAGCCAACCACGAACATTTATGATAAAAAATAATGATCATATATGGTTCCAAACGGCATTATATGACCTCAAGATTTATCTCATAGAATTTCAAGACTGTTCGACAACGGGCCTCGAAACCTCCTAAATTTCTCAAAAAGCGTGAATATTAGCCTTTAATTTTGGAATTTTTTTACTATTTTTCGTGCGGAAATAAAAACTGCCGAAATGTTTACCATGGTCCCTAATACTCTCCGAGAGTACAATTGGGTGGGCGAACCATCCAATTTGCCTTTAAACGACCAATTAACCGGTTTACAACTTGCACCGATTTCATTAATTCAAGCCAACCACGAACATTTATTACAAAAAACAATGATCATATATAGTTCCAAATAGCATTATATGACCCTGAGATGTATCCTAAAGGATTTCAAAACTTTTTGACCCTGGACCTTCAATTTTGGAATTTTTTGACTAATTTTCGCCCAGAAATAAAAATTGCCAAAATATTTATCATGGTCCCTAATACTCTTCAAGAGTCCAATTGGGTGAGTGGAACTCTTCAATTTGCCTTTAAACTACCAATTTACCAGTTTAAAACTTACACCGATTTCATTAATTCAAGTCAACCACGAACATTTATGACAACAAATAATGATCATATATGGTTCCAAACGGCATTATATGACCTCATGATATATCCCATAAAATTTCAAAACTTTTCGACACCGGGCCCTGAAACCTCCAAAATTTCTCAAAAAGCGTGATATTAGCCTTTAATTTTGGAATTTTTTTTACTATTTTTCGCAAGTAAATAAAAATTGCCGAAATGATTACCATGATCCCTAATACCCTCCGAGAGTCCAATTGGGTGGGTGGAACCATCCAACTTGGCTTTAAACGACCAATTTACCAGTTTAAAACTTACACCGATTTCATTAATTCAAGCCAACCACGAACATTTATGACAATAAATAATGATCATATATGGTTCCAAACGGCTTTATATATATGGCCTCAAGATATATCCCATAGAATTTCAAGACGTTTCGACATCCAGCCTCGAAACCTCTAAAATTTATTCAAAAAGCGTGGATATTAGCCTTTAATTTTGGAATTTTTTGACTATTTTTCACCCGGATATAAAAATTGCCGAAACATTTACCATGGTCCCTAATACTCTCCGGGAGTACAGTTGGGTGGGTGGAACCATCTAATTTTCCTTTAAACAACCAATTTAACGGTTCACAACTTACAGCGATTACATTAATTCAAGCCAACCACGAACATTTATGACAACAAATAATGATCATAAATGGTTCCAAACGGCATTATATGACCTCAAGATGTATCCCATAAAATTTCAAGACTTTTCGACACCGGGCCTTGAAACCTCCAAAATTTCTCAAAAAACGTGGATATTAGCCTTTAATTTTGGAATTTTATTTACTATTTTTCGCCCGGAATTAAAAATTGCCGAAATGTTTACCATGATCCCTAAGATCCTCCAAGAGTCTAATTGGGTGGGTGGAACCATTCAATTCGCCTTTAAACGACCAATTTATCGATTTACAACTTACACTGATTTCATTAATTCAAGCCAACCACGAACATTTATGACAATAAATAATGATCATATATGGTTCCAAACAGAATTATATGACCTAGAGATGTATCTCATAGAATTTCAATACTTTTAGACACCGGGCCCTTAAACTTCAAAAATTTCTCAAAAAGCGTTGATATTAGCCTTCAGTTTTTTAACTATTTTTCGCCGAGAAATAAAAATTGCCAAAATATTTACCATGATCCCTAATATCCTCCGGGAATCCAATTGGGTGGGTGGAACCATTCAATTCACCTTTAAACGACCAATTTACCGATTTACAACTTACACTAATTTCATTAATTCAAGCCAACCACGAACATTTATGACAACAAATAATGATCATAAATGGTTCCAAACGGAATTATATGACCTTAAGATGTATCCCATAAAATTTCAAGACTTTTCGACACCGGGCCCTGAAACGTTTAAAATTTCTCAAAAAGCACGGATATTAGCCTTTAATTTTGGAATTTTATTTACTATTCTTCGCCCGGAATTAAAAATTCCCGAAATTTTTACCATGATCCCTAAGAACCTCCGAGAGTCTAATTAGGTGGGTGGAACCATTCAATTCTCCATTAAACGACCAATTTATCGATTTACAACTTACACTGATTTCAATAATTCAAGTCAACCACGAACATTTATGACAAAAAATAATGATCATACACTACGTGAAAAAATGAAATTGGCACCGGTTTGAATCGGTTCCAATGTGGGGGTGCCAATTACCCCCCCTTTTTGGCACCGGTTCAAAACCGATGCCATAAACAGGTTTTGGCACTGGTTAACCGGTGCCAAAAATACTAAAAAAAAAAAAAAAATTATCCTCCTTTTGGCACCGGTTAACCGGTGCCAAAAATGTCCAAAATTATTATTATTAGTTTTTTTTTTGGTTTTTTTTCACTTACCAATAAAATCAACTGAAAAAAATAACAATTCACAACAAAAATCGAATTGGTTTCAATATATATAATGAAAAATTTACAATACATAATCAAATCCAAAATTACAATATAGATCAATTACAACTAACATATAAATAAATAAAAAAAATACATTATAAATCATAAAAAAAATTACAACATGAACATATCAATATTCTTGCATAATCTGTACCTGCACTAATTAAAACAGAAAAAAAATCAATTGGTAAAAATAAGCTTAAGAATATAAAAAATTTATCAAAAAATTGAAAAATTATCAAAAACGAAAAAAAAAACCAAAATTATCAAAATATAAAATATAAAACAGAAATTGAAATCGATATAAAAAATTATCAAAAACGAAAAAAAAAAACCAAAATTGAAATCGAAAAAAGAAACCAAAAATTAAAAAAAAAAACAAAATCAAAATCAGAAAAAAAAAACCAAATACGAAAATAAATAGGAAAAAAAAACCAAAATCCAAAATAAAAGGCAAAATCGAAACCCTAAAAACGAAATCCAAAATAAAAACGAAATCCAAAATAATAACGAATAAAAACGAAATCCAAAATAAAAACGAAATCCCAGAAATCGGAAAAAAAAAACCAAAATCAAAATTAAAACCCTAAAAACCAAAATCGAAAACCTAAGTAAAAAACCAAAATCAAAATCAAAAACCAAAATCGAAAAAAAAAACCAGATACGAAAAACAAAACCAAAATCGAAATTGGTGAATCGAAAATAAAAACAATTAAAATCGAAAAAAAAAGCCAGAACTTGAAAAAAAATCCCAGAAATTGTTGTTGATGTTGATGCCGGTGGTGGTGCTCGAACTTTGTGGTGGTGGCGGCGGCTGTTGTTGCGCTAATGAGAGGAGATCGAGCTTTGTGGTGGTGCTCGAGCTTTGGTTGTTGCATATGAAAGGAGATCGAGCTTTGTGGTGGTGCTCGAACGTTGTGGTGCTCGAGCTTTGCACTAGACGAAAATATAAATTGGCCACCGGTTCAAAACCCCCCTATGCCACCGGTTTTGAACCGCTGGGCATTTGGGGGGTGGCAATAATCGTATAAAAAGCCACCGGTTCAAAACCGGTGGCAAAAACAAGTATTGCCACCGGTTAACCGGTGGCAATAACCCTGCCCGCTTTTTTAAAGAGGTTATTGGCACTAGTTCCTGGTCAAAACCGGTGGCAATAATGGCCAAAAAAATAATTTTTTTTTTTTTTTGCATTTTTTTCACTTAAAATGATATGTAAACACTTACATATATATTAACTTACATTGTTTTTCATAAAAAAGCTGTAAAATTACAATATTCCTCGAAAAACAAAGTGGCATGAACGACATGAATTTTTAGGCAAATTCTCAACCAGCATTAAGCCCGTTATCAGGTTGTCTAGTACCTTCTTCACTGTGAGCCCTTATAGTAGTATTTGGTGAATTCTTTGCTTGGTTATTTGCCACTTCCTCCAACTTCATCATCCTCATCCCGAAGCAACTGATCTAATTCTGGCCAGACTAATTCTTCCTGAAATTGACAGACTTCAGTATATTTTCACCAAATTACAAGTTCATTATTACGGAAGAAGTAAAATTCCAGACAATACAATCAATCAATCGATCAACTTATAGCGTTTTGAACAAGAACCTACAAAAATCAGAGTAAACAAAGCAAACCAGTATTTGGAATAAACAATTTACAACAGCCTCGGTAGGGTAGAGAAGAAGTGACAAGTGACAGTAGCTCTAGCACAGCATATAGTGCAGCATCTCAGTCGGCAGGACCAAGTTGCTATGCTGATTTTCAGAAATGTAGCACAAGACAAGTGCCAAGAGTCTCTCAGGCAGGACCAGGCCACATGCACAGGCCACTTCCAGCCAACTTAGAACAAAGGAAAACTCAAAGATTGGTTTTGTACATATGTTCACTAGATCTTCACCAAAAAAATAATAAAGAGGGGGGCTATATGTACTCAGTGAAGTCCCCTTAATAAATTTTTCAAAGAGAGATACCAGTTGTCACAAGCAACATGAGAAAGAAAAGAACTGCACTCAGAATTCACAATATATGCACATGCCTCAGGAATTAAAAATGTATGGTAACTCAGAAACTTATAGTCTGATTTATGTGAGGAGTCCAAGTAACATTCTATGTTCATTTGATGACTAGACACCTGATCAAATTTAGTGTATACTTATACACTCTATAGAACTACTGCTCTAATCAAATTTAGTGTATACATTCTATAGAATCTTTCATGATACTTACGCAGGGTGAGCACCAATAAGAGCTACAACCATCATCGTACAGTTATAAGCAGCTTTTGATTGCAAGTTGTCAAAAGGGGAGCTTCACCATCTTTTAATTTCTCAATAGGGGCCCGATTATCAGCATAGATATGTGATGCAACTACCTGAGAGAATTATAAAATGTAAATAATAAGTCATGATATGCAAAATGGAGCTTTTCTAATTGTACATTGAAAATGGGCTTATATAACATAGAATAAAGAAAAAAATCGAAGTCATATATTAAGTGTGCCTCATATTTACATATACACATTCTCTCATGTAAATAGACTAGCAAAGATTTTCTTTTTTTCCACTAAATACATTACATAAAAAATGCAGAGAGCCATGCACAAAGATTATCTTATGTTTCTATGCAAATGAATATATGAATGTCTATTATTTCTAGTCATATTAAAAATAGACTACAAAACACTAGTCCTTTGTATCAACACCTGGAAATGTCATTTAAATTCAGCAAACCTACTGCTAGACTCGGTTATAACCAACATACAAAATCTGAGTACTTTACTTCAATTAATGCATTAATATACAGATATAGCATTTCCCAACTGATCATTCCTACTAATATATTATCCATATATGATAGATCTTGGTGTTTCTAATACAAAGATTCATCAAAGGTTGCATAAATATCATCTATCTCATTAAAATTTTGCACTAAACATATCCTTGCTTAAACAAATACTGTGAAAAACTATCAAGAGTCTTTCACTTAAATGATCTCATATCCTTCATCATAAGTGATTCAGAAATCCGACAGCGTGAGTATTGAGTATGATCACACTGTACAAGGAGACCACCAAAGGACAACTACGCTAGCTAAATCCAAGATAATCATAATGTTTTGACATATTCAAATTAAAGCAGAAAGGACTGCCTTACCCACTGATGCGAGGGGATCATTGAGCCTTTGACTTTGACGCTATGCTTCCATTTCTTGGCTCTACAACCAGTGTGCTTTTCCCATTCACTTAATGACTACTTCCTTGTCCCACATTTACCACACTTACACACAACCCTAAAAAGAAGAGCACATGTAATCAAATTAATAGCAGATTGTTTGCAAAATGTAAAAAAGAATTTAAAAGAGCATAATATATAATTTTTGTAACCTTTAGAACTTACAAGTGAAGGCTTGGGATATATGATGCCTCCATACCATTGCACGCAACAGTTACCTCATCGGATGGCACAGGTTGTCTGTATCATACAATAGTAACTCTTACTAAATTGTTTGAGCTCAAAATCGGTTGTATAAATGCCAGAAACAACAATAATAGTAATAATAATAAAAGTATTTGTTGTAAATCTATAATAAATTATCCATAACAATATTAATAATGATGATAACAATGAAAGTAAAGCAACAGTAACAACAAACAGAAGTAAACGCGTACTTTGGGTTGACTTCAGGTAGAGCTACAGAGTATGATGGCTCAAATGCAAACTTTGGCTTGCAATCAGGGCAGTAATATTCCGCATCTTCCAAATCCTTAGATAGAAACAGAATGTACAAATAAATCCTCTAAAAACAGTCTTTACAAGCACCAGGTCTTGTCAATAAAACAAAAACAAAGCGTGAACCAACCTTGAGATTTTTGCCACAGATTTCAGCACACTCAGCATGCTCCAAAACATCACAGCCATCACAGCAAACCTATGCGAGAAACAATTACTATACACACAAAATATTGACAAATCTCACGAGCAAAAAGCAGTACTTCAAAATTAAATTGTTCGACCAAAATTGAGTTCCTACATACCTATTTCTTAAGAATTAAGTGATTTATAGACAAAACCAAAATTCAACATTGATCACAAATATAAATCAAATCTCAACATAACAAACCTACGTGAGTATACATATCAAAGACAAAATCGATAAGCCCCATATCAAGTTCAATTTTTTCTGTAATTAGGGTCAGATTATCACGAAAATGCAGAAAAATTATCAAGAGACATCCTTTACCTCATCATCATCAAACTCATCACCATACCCAACCTTCACATGGCCAAAATACCTGGGTTAAATCCCGTACCCAAGTTCGCTCCACTACACATTAGTAATTTGAAAGCTCAAAAACACAGATCTATATGATTTCAAGAAATCTGACAATGAAATGTTGTCAAAATTCAGTAATTGCGGTGCTGCATGTAATTGAGAAAGGAACAATTTCTATGGAGTAATATATAATTAAAATCGAAAATCAGAAAACCCTTGGTTTCCGAAAACATGAAATTGTAAATTTGAGAAAAATAAAAACTCAAAAATCACGAAATAAAGAAATTAATTAAAGAGAAAAGAAGAAAAAAGCACGAACCTTCAGGGAAAATCATTTCGCGAGGGGGAAACGACGAGAGGAGGGTTTGTATCAGCTCCTTGCGCCACTGCCACCGTTGCTAGGACCGTCCGACTGATGCACCGTAAACATGAACAGAGGGAAGCGGGAGGAATGGACGGCGGCACGGTGGAGAGAGGAAAGAGAGAGAGAAGAGGGAGATCTAGTTGAGGAGTGAGGAGAGAGGAGAGAGGAGAGAGAACACGAGATGGAGGAAAGAGAGAGAGAACGCGCAAAGTGAAAGAAAATATAGGGGCGATTTTTTTTTTTATTATATTGCCACCGATTTGAACCGGTGGCCTTTAAAACATATGCCAACAGTTCGGTTTAAACCGGTGGCAATTAAAAAAATCCTAATCCCGTCCATTTTTTCCAAACCAGTTTTTAAAAACCGGTGGGCATGGCTCGGTGCCTTTTTATATTTTTCTACTAGTGTTGGTTGCTGCATATGAGAGGAGATCGAAGAGAGATGAAAGACAAAAGAAGAACGAATAAAGAGAGAGAGAGTAGATCGATGGAGATGAAAGAAGAAAGAAGAATGAAGAGAGAGAGAGAGGAAAGAGAAGGAGAGGAGAGGAAATGGGGGAATGGAGGCGGAGAGGAGGAGGAGAGATAAGGAGATCGAAGCTAAGGGTTTTAGGGTTTTAATGTTCCGGTTTTTTTAAAAACCTTGGGCCGGTTCAGTGGCACCGGTTCAATCCGGTGCCCTTTGTATTTTTGGCAACAGTTTGATCTGAACCGGTGCCATTACTCATGGTCTAAAATCCCGCCCATTTTTAGGGAGGTTTTTGGCACCGATTTGGTCTGAACCGGTGCCATTTGGGGGTTGCCTTTTTATATTTTTATACTAGTGATATATGGTTCCAAACGACATTATATGACCTAGAGATGTATCTCGTAGAATTTCAATACTTTTAGACACCGGGCCCTGAAACTTCAAAATTTCTCAAAAAGCGTTGATATTAGCCTTCAATTTTGGAATTTTTTTTAACTATGTTTTGCCAGGAAATAAAAATTGCCAAAATGTTTACCATGATCCCTAATATCCTCCGGGAGTCCAATTGGGTGGGTGGAACCATTCAATTCGCCTTTAAACGACCAATTTACCGATTTACAACTTACATTGATTTCATTAATTCAAGCCAACCACGAACATTTATAACAACAAATAATGATCATATATGGTTCCAAACGACATTATATGACCTCAATATATATCCCATAGAATTTCAAGACTTTTCGACACCGGGCCCTTAAACCTCCAAAATTTCTAAAAAAATGTGGATAATAACCTTCAATTTTGGAATTTTTTAAACTATTTTTCGCCCGTAAATGAAAATTTCGAAAATGTTTACCATGATCTCTAATACCCTCCAGGAGTCCAAATGGGTGGGTGGAACCATCCAATCTACCTTTAAGCGACTAATTTACCGATTTACAACTTACACCGATTTCATTAATTCAAGGCAACCAGGAACATTTACGACAATAAATAATGATCATATATGGTTCCAAACGACATTATATGATCCCAAAATGTATCTCATAGAATTTCAAGAGTATTAGACACAGGGCCCTGAAACATCCAAAATTTCTCAAAAAGCGTGGACATTAGCCTTCAATTTTGGAATTTTTTGACTTTTTTTCGCCCGGAAATAAATATTGCCGAAATGTTTACCATGATCCCTAATACCCTCCGGGAGTATAATTGGGTGGGTGGAACCATTCAATTCGCCTTTAAACGACCAATTTACTGATTTTCAACTTACACCGATTTCATTAATTCAAGCCAACCACGAACATTTACGACAACAAATAATGTTCATTTATGGTTCCAAACGACATTATATGATCCCAAAATGTATCTCATAGAATTTCAAGAGTATTAGACACAGGGCCCTGAAACATCCAAAATTTCTCAAAAAGCCTTCAATTTTGGAATTTTTTATCTATTTTTCGCCCGGAAAAAAAAAATTCCAAAATATTTACCATGATTCCTAATACCCTCCGGGAGTCTAATAGGGTGGGTGGAACCATTCAATTTGCCTTAAAACGACCAATTTACCGATTTACAACTTACACCGATTTCATTAATTCAAGCCTACCAGGAACATTTACGATAATAAATAATGATCATATATGGTTCCAAACGGCATTATATGACCACGAGATGTATCCCGGAGAATATAAAGACTTTTCGACACCAGGTTCTGAAACCTTCAAAATTTCTCAAAAAGCGTGGATATTAGTCTTCAATTTTGGAATTTTTTGACTTTTTTTCGCCCGGAAATAAAAATTGCCGAAATATTTACCATGATCCCTAATACCCTCTGGGAGTCTAATTGGGTGGGTGGAACCATTTAATTCCCCTTTAGACGACCTATTTACTGATTTACAACTTACACTGATTTCATTAATTCAAGCCAACCACGAACATTTATGACAACAAATAATGATCATATATGGTTCCAAACGACATTATATGACCTCAAGATATATCCCATAGAATTTCAAGACTTTTCGACACCGGGCCCTAAAACCTCCAATGTTTCTCAAAAAGCGTGATATTAGCCTTTAATTTTGGATTTTTTTTTTCAATTCTTCGCCCGGAAATAAAAATTGCCAAAATTGTTACCATGATCCCTAAGATACTCCGGGAGTCTAATTGGGTGGGTGGAACCATTCAATTCGACTTTAAACGACCAATTTACCGATTTAAAAGTTACACCGATTTTATTAATTCAAGACAACCACGAACATTTATAACAATAAATAATGATCAGATATGGTTCCAAGCGGCATTATATGACCCAGAGATGTATCTCATAGAATTTCAATACTTTTAGACACCGGGCCCGGAAATTTCCAAAATTTCTCAAAAAACGTTGATATTAGCCTTCAATTTTGGAATTTTTTTAACTATTTTTCGCCCGGAAATAAAAATTGCAAGAATGTTTACCATGATCCCTAATACCCTCTGGGAGTCTAATTGGGTGGGTAGAACCATTCAATTGCCCTTTAGACGACCAATTTACCGATTTACAACTTACACTGATTTTATTAATTCAAGCCAACCAAGAACATTTATGACAACAAATAATGATCATATATGATTCCAAACGACATTATATGACCTCAAGATATATCCCATATAATTTCAAGACTTTTCGACACCGGGCCCTGAAACCTCCAAAATTTTGAAAAACGTGTGGATATTAGCCTTCAATTTTGGAATTTTTTCTACTATTTTTCGCCTATAAATAAAAATTTCCAAAATGTTTACCATGATCCCTAATACTCTCCGGGAGTCCAAATTAGTGGGTGGAACCATCCAATCTACCTTTAAACGACCAATTTACCGATTTACAACTTACTATGATTTCATTAATTCAACCCACCCACGAACATTTATGACAACAAATAATGATTATATATGGTTCCAAAAGAAATTATATGACCCCGAGATGTATCCCTGAGAATATCAAGACTTTTCGACACCGGTTCCTGAAACCTCCAAAATTTCTCAAAAAGCGTGGATAATAGCCTTCAATTTTGGAATTTTTTGACTTTTTTTCGCCCGGAAATCAAAATTGCCGAAATGTTTACCATGATCCCTAATATCCTCCGGGAGTCTAATTGGGTGGGTGGAACCATTCAATTCGCTTTTAAACGACCAATTTACCGATTTACAACTTACACCAATTTCATTAATTCAAGCCAACCACGAACATTTATGACAACAAATAATGATCATATATGGTTCCAAACGGCATTATATGACCCCGAGATGCATCTCATAGAATTTCAAGACTTTTAGACATAGGGCTGTGAAACATCCAAAATTTCTCAAAAAGCGTTGATATTAGCCTTTAATTTTGGAATTTGTCGCATGGAAATAAAAATTGCAAGAATGTTTACCGTGATCCCTAATACCCTCTGGGAGTCCAATTGGGTGGGTGGAACCATTCAATTCTCCTTTTAACCACCAATTTACCGATTTACAACTTACACTGATTTCATTAATTCAAGCCAACCACGAACATTTATGACAACTAATAATAATCATATATGGTTCCAAACGACATTATATGACCTCGAGATATATCTCATAGAATTTCAATACTTTTAGACACCGGGCCCTGAAACATCCAAAATTTCTCATAAAGCGTTGATATTAGCTTTCAATTTTAAAATTTTTTAACTATTTTTTCGCCCGGAAATAAAAATTGGCGAAATGTTTACTATGGTCCCTAATACCCTACAGGAGTCCAATTGGGTGGGTGGAACCAACCAATTTGCCTTTTAACGATCAATTTACCGGTTTATAAGTTACACCGATTTCATTAATTGAAGTCTACCATTATTGACAATAAATAATGATCATATATGGTTCCAAATGACATTATATGACCCCGAGATGTAATCGCTAGAATTTCAAGAATTTTCGAAACCAGGCCCTGAGACTCCAAAATTTCTCAAAAAGCATAGCTTTCAATTTTGGAATTTGTTGACTTTTTTTTCACCCAGATATAAAAATTTCCGAAATATTTATTATGATCCCAAATACCTTCCGGAATTCCAATTGGGTGGGTGGAACCATCAAATTTTCCTTTAAACGACCAATTTACCGGTTTACAACTTGCACCGATTTCATTAATTCAAGCCAACCACGAACATTTCCGACAATAAATAATGAAAATATAAGGTTCCAAACAGCGTTATATGACCCCCAAGATGTATCCCTGAGAATATCAAGACTTTTGGACATCGGTTCCTCAGACCTCCGAAATTTCTCAAAAAGCGTGGATATTAGCCTTCAATTTTGGAATTTTTTGACTTTTTTTCGCCTGGAAATCAAAATTGCAGAAATGTTTACCAAGATCCCTAATATCCTCCGGGAGTCTAATTGGGTGGGTGGAACCATTCAATTCTTCTTTAAACGACCAATTTACCGATTTACAACTTTTACCGATTTTATTAATTCAAGCCAACCACGAACATTTATGACAACAAATAATGATCATATATGGTTCCAAACGGCATTATATGACCTCGAGGTGTATCTCATAGAATTTCAAGACTTTTAGACACAGGACCCTAAAACATCCAAAATTTCTCAAAAAGCGTTAATATTAGCCTTCAATTTTGGAATTTTTTTAACTATTTTTCGCCTGGATATAAAAAATTGCAAGAATGTTTACCATGATCCCTAATACCCTCCGGGAGTCCAATTGGGTGGGTAGAACCATTTAATTCTCCTTTTAACGGCCAAATTACCGATTTACAACTTACTATGATTTCATTAATTCA